GGGGAGAGCTTAGTAAACATAATATTCTTCATGTAAGTGTAGATTAAAGATAATAAAAAAAAGAAAGGAAGAAAAGGGGGATTACTCCTTAATGGGATAAAACTAACTGTAAATCAACAATAAATGCATGCTTTAATTATACTTAATTTTGATCACTTAAAGGGTGTCAGATGTTCGGCTATGGAGGTACACTTTTGTGATTATATTCCTTTCTCTTAAAAAGAAAAAAAACGCAGTTCCTGTGTGGTGACCACCAAGGAGTTGTACACAATGGTATAAACGGTATATCAAAGTGTGGGCAAAGGATCTGTTTGCGTTTATACAGAGGATTAAAGCCTAATTTGGCTACCCAGAAAATGAACTAAGGTACGATATGAAGAAGAACTTCCAACATCAGCACTCTCTGGAAGAGTCATACCAGAAGATGATCATCAAAAAACCTCAACAAAGATCCAGGTGAATCTGCAGTTGTAGCGGCATCCATCCCACAGGTTCCTGGACTTGCCATGGGAATGAAGAAGGAGATATCTAAGCTGGCCTGTGCTTTCAGTAAAACAACAAATTTGACTGGATCTATACTATTGGAACTCAACCAAGAATTGGGAGAAATGAAAGTTGTAGCACTCCAAAATCTTACAACTACAGACTATCTACTGTTAAAAGAATATATGGGTTGTGAACAGTCCCCAGGAATGGGTTATTTTAATTTTTCTGATTTCTCTCAGACTGTTCAAGTTCAGTTGGACAAAGCCACCATATCATAGATAAGTTTTCACAAATGCCTAAGGTGCCTAACTGGTTTTCTTGGTTTCACTGGAGATGGCTGGTAATTATAGGTCTGCTTTGGTTATGTAACTGTACTCCTATTATGTTAATGTGTGTGTGCAATTTAATTAGTAGTTTAAAAAATATACATGCTGAAGTTACTCTACAAGAAGATATGTCAAAGAAATAATCAATCTTCCCATGTTTTCTACTGCCTGCTACTTCTATAGCTTTTCTTCTTCCTCCCTAATTACAACCCTTAAATAGAATTCGTGCCTCATAT